ATGGGTGACCACCCGGTTCTGAAAAGGACTGGTTGGGATAAGCTCCGATATTATTGAACCACCACGCGTGTACCTACAAGAACTCAATGTCGGAGGGGTTTCCAGCGCAGAGCCTCTGATGCCTAAGTCAGTCTGAGGAAGAGATAATGGTGCTCTGTAAATACAAGCAATATATAATGTATGAGAATGTAAAAGTTTTAAGGTTTGGTGATACCTCAGTCCTTTTATAGGGAATTACCTGCCCGAAATGCTCGGCCCGAGTGCCCGCGTGCAGTCGGCCCAGATTTAATGCTTATTCATATCCTAATCATCTCTTAATCATCTCCTAGTCACTTTTAAGATTCCTTCTTATCCCGTTAAGGTTCCTTCTTATAGATTACCTTAGGTCATAATTCCTCTTGGGACTATCCGCTTCGTGGTCCATCTCGGGTTGTGAAGTGAATTTGGTCGTCTTTGGTGGTGGAAGTCGACTTAATCCATAGCCCCAGGGTTGGGTCGTCCGATGTCCTTCTGTGAGACGTACGAAATCCTTTGACCTTAGGTCGTTGTCCCTCAAGTTGTCTTTCTACTTCCAGATCGCCTTATGTCAACCTCGAGGTGCCGAGTTAAACTTCATCTCGAGGTCGTCTTATCCTTGTTAATCTCCCTTCAAGATGACTTACTCCGGTCGCCTTTCATTTTACTCAAGCTCCTTACACTTGTAATAATTCATTCCACTTATATATGGCTTTATCAAAATCCATACCATATAAATTCGGACATTTCATATCAAAATAAAATCGTTCACTTTATATCTTAATTTCAGACATTTGTTGATAACAACATATTTCCTACCAAAAATCAAAATGGCCATCAGATACCTTGAATAAAAACATCCACTATACACCAAAACCGGATTTATTAAATTTGTCAACTTTATACCATAAATATTTGATTAATTAATTTATAGATGCGAGATTTTTTTTACATTTTCTAAAAAAGATTACCAAGTTTAATAGTTTCAAAACTTTTGGGCGGGATTTAGTTTCAGTTTCAAGTAAATACATATATATTGAACGAAAACTACAATTTTAATGATAAATGATTTACTTTAAAACATCGTAAAATGATTTTTTGAAACATAGCTAGTGTAGTGAATGAGTCGAACCAAACTAAAATTCTTGATACTCGAGCTCAACTTGAGCATTTATCAAGCCTTGTCGAGCTCAGCTTCTTAGCTAAACGAGCTGTTAAATAAGTTTGGACTCGTCTCGTATATTAATTAATATTAATGGTTGAAGTTGAGTTAAACTTAGAGCTCAGAAAACTATGTAAAAACTTCTACTCTCAGCCTAACGAGTCAAATTGCACTTGAGCTTTAATGAGCCAAGCCGGTAGTTATATTTTTGTTGTACCTTGAGCCACAATCGGTGGTAGTTTTGAAAATCTACACTTTCCCTTTGAACATTGAAGATGAAAATTGTCATGAGATAACACAGCAACTTACCAATTATTATTGACTATACAACAAAATGAAGTTCCCGCACTACACAATAGATCCATATTTCCCTACTAAAAATAATAAATTTTTCTTGTCTCAATACTAACCGCCACCGATGAACCCCAAATAAACAAAAAATAAGTAAATAATAACCAAAAAAAAAAAATAATAATTTTAGTTTATTATTGTTTTTTCCTTTTTACTAAAAAATGTTACGGTCACGTTAGGAAACCATTCCGTCGAGATTTGTAACCGTTAAATCCTCATGCAACCGTCGGGGATAATTGATCTAACGGTTACTAACCCCGACGGAATGATTCCGTAACGGAACCGTAGCATTTCCCACAACTACAAGTAACAATAAAAGGAGGCCAAGCAAGTGTCATAAAACCATGTCCTTATCAGAAACCTCGGCGTTTAAGTTACCATCATTGTCAACTAAAGTATTGTGGCCTATACATATATATATATAGACATTAAGATAAGCTCGCCTACAATATTAAAAAAAAAAAA